TAAATAAAAAAAACTCATTTATCTCCATTTTTTTTCAAACCAAGGGGTAAATAGTTGGATGAATTTCCTTGTGGCAAAAGCTTCCATTTTGCTTTACTCTGTAATGTATAAACTGGTCTCATTTTCTAAAGTGTAAAACCGTTTCCTGAAGTTCAGGTTAAAAGGTTTCCTTCGTTCGGAAAATCAGCAGATTTCATTGAGATGCAATTAGTAGCAGGAAAACTCATTATCGTCACATGCTGGCCTAGTCAAAGCCCAGACCTGCTGATGGACACACACTTCAAAATGTTGGTTTTACTTTATGTAAATGTTCTGCTCGGATCTGTATTTGTAAACAATATTTTAATTTGCGCTGTAATGAAAAAACACCCAAAACAATAAAAGTCATGGAGGGCATAGTTAAATACTACTTTTTAATAAAGATGTTTTTAAATAATTTACATATACAGAATTCACGGGAAGTCTCTGTATTCAGGCAATAATAATAGCGCTTCCTGGGAATTTATTTAATCATTTCAATAATGTTTCAATCATTATTAATTTTTGTAAAAGGGAATCCTCAGAAGCGCTAAGCTTATGGACAAAGATGGAACGGATGATCAAAGTGTGCTCTCCATGTTTCACTGCAGGTGGATGCCAGGAACGTGGATGGAAGCACGCCGCTGTGCGACGCCTGTTCCTCTGGGAGTCTGGAGTGTGTGAAGCTGCTGCTGGATCATGGTGCCATGGCTAACCCCGCCCTCACCTCCCGCACCGCCTCCCCTCTTCATGAAGCCTGCATGGGAGGCAATCACTTCATTTTCAATCTTCTTCCTCAAACTAACCCAAATCAAGGCTGTTTTAAATCTGGGCTTTTATTACAGGTAACTCAGACTGTGTGAAGCTGCTGATTGCCATGGGCGCTTCTCTAGAGGCATACGACCTTTACTACGGCACCCCGCTGCACGTGGCTTGTGTTAACGCGCACACCGATTGTGTTAAAGTTCTTCTCAATGCAGGTTGGTGTTGCTGCTAAACAAAAAAAATTTAAAGGTGACATCTGAATATTTCTAAATGTTTGAAAAATAAAACGAGACTTTTAATAAGTTGATCAGAACATTTTGTTTTTTAGGTGCTAAAGTCAATTCTGCTCGGCTACATGAGACTCCGCTGCACCATGCAGCTAAACATATGAGCGTTGAGATGATTGAGACACTGGTAGAGTTTGGGGCTAACATCTACGCCAGAGATCAACACAACAGGAAACCGGTGGATTACACCACACCTGGCTCTCCCTCTGAAGCCTGCCTGCAGTTTTATGAGTGTGAGTTTTAGTTTGGTATGAGGATAGAAAACCAAGGTTTCTTAGAAATGGTGCCATGTCAACAAAACACCAGTAGATGGCAGACTAACCTCGAAATTCTACATCCTATGTAACGCTCTGCCCCACCATGCCCCGCCCCGGTTCAGACCGCCTGCGCAAAGCAAAGACTACAACCTTGGCGGTTCCTCCAGTCCTGCTCCACTCTGAGTTCCTTGAAGCTCAAGGAGAGTATAAATATTCGTAGGAACTCTATATGAGGTCATGAACACTTCATTTAATATGACATCATTTAAACTCATCATCAGCATCAATGACACGTTTTTTCCCCAAATATTTTCTTTTCGTAACGTTTTAATTGGGATGATTAGGACTACTTCCAAACTCGGCTTCTCTTCATCCATGCCTGAGATAAGTAGTTACTTTTAAAGTTGTGAGATGCGCTCTTGGAAGTTAATGTTACTATATTTGATTTGACTTAAACCTCTCGGTATAAAATAAGTCTTTTGATGGAGATGAGGAATCTGCTTCCTGGTATGTTGAAGTACCAATAGTTTGCATCCAATCATTTAAACAAACGCTGTGAAGTCACGGAGCTAATGAACTGCGTGTAGCTGCTGTGAAATCACGGAGCTAACAAACTGCGTGTAGCTGCTGTGAAGTCATGGAGCTAACGAACTGCGTGTAGCTGCTGTGAAGTCATGGAGCTAACGAACTGTGTGTAGCTGCTGTGAAATCACGGAGCTAACAAACTGCGTGTAGCTGCTGTGAAGTCACGGAGCTAACGCACTGCGTGTAGCTGCTGTGAAGTCACAGAGCTAACGAACTGCGTGTAGCTGCTGTGAAGTCATGGAGCTAAC